CCTGTAGTTCGGGGAGCGGAGCGGGCACACCAGGAAGAGGCGGCCGAGCTCAGCGCACTGGCCTTCGGCCTTCAGGCGTTCGGGGCGCGCTCGGATCGCCTGGCCAAGTTTCCTCCGCAGCCAGGGCGCCTAGAGCCTTACGGCTGGTTTCAGAGGACGCTGAGGTTCTGCCTGGGGCGCTGGGGTGTCAGAGTCCCCGTCGGGCTGGACTCTCAGGTTGTGTGCCCATTGGCTGTGCGTGGAAGCCTAGGCGCTGGAGACCGCCCTGGGGATACTCCGCATGGCTTTCACGTGCGGGAGAGCATCCAGCAGTAATGGGGCTTTGTATGATCTCTGGAGGTAAGGCCGGTATTTCACTGATGCAGTTTTATCACCTGTTTCTATTTCCAGCTGGACCATCCCCAGGATCCTGAACTTTGATTAGCCACGTGGGAGCAGGGATGAAGCTGCCCAGCTGTCCAAGGAGGCACCTGGGCACTAGCTGCCCAGCTTTCTTGTAATTTTGCAGCAGCCAACAGCTGATGTTAGGGAGGAGGTGTCTACAAAGACCTGACTACACTGCTGTAAGTCTTACCCCTCATGGAGGTGGAGTAATTATGTCAATACAGTAGGGCACCTACATGGGCAGGAGGAAGACATTACTGTCAACACTGAAGCCTTGTCTACAGCACAGAAGAGTAAGAAGTCCTCCAGCTTCACAGTATTTCAACATTATTTCAAAATAACTGCTTGCTGTGTAGACGTACTCTGCGATGGACCCGGCTGGGTCTGGGCACTGCTGAGGGCGTCCGCTCAAGGCGAATTGCTCAGAGCCAGGGCTGCTTATAACTCCTGACTGGAGACCTTCCCAAAAAAGTCACAAACCAGTCACACCGAGCGCTTCAGCTGCCAATCTGGCCAGCAGAAAGCCTCATGAGCAAAACCCCTCCTTGTATCTTATTCCACCCTCACATCCTTCCACTTTCCCTTCCCTAATCCCCCTTCCTGATGTCAAATAAAAACACATGTTGCCAAAAAACCCTCTATTTATTGACCGTAACTGGGGTAGGCGGAGATGAGGGTGGGAGAGGGGAGGGGGAAACCTGGGAGTAGGGAGCTAGAAGGGGGAGGCAAGGGAGGAAGGGGGAGGAGAAGCTCAGGGTTGGGGGTCTTGCCAACCCACCTGTCTCCCAACACTGCGGGTGCCGAGGCCTCGGCATCCCCTGTGGGGAGCGGGTATGGAAGGGGGGGAAGGTGGGAGGAAGGAGTGGGAGGAGGAGCGATAGCTGGAGCAGTAGCAGATAGCAATCTCTGCGCCATGGTCTGCAGGTGGTCGTGGATGGCACGGCCCTGGTCACGCAGCTCCTGCAAGCTCTCCTGCTGCAGCTGGAGGTCTTCCTGCACCCAGTGCTCCTGGCTGTGGACCTGCCTGTGCAGTAACCCCAGGTGCTGCTGCTGGTATCCCTCCTGGTTCCAGGTGTGCCTGCTGGCCCGGGTGCAGGAGGATGTCCGGGGCAGGGTGGTGCGCCCTGCTCTTGCAACTGGTGCTGCTGTGGAGAAACCAGAGAGGTGGACAATTGTCCCTAGGGGTGCTGCTGCCACAGTACCTCTGGCCTCCAGGGCCGGCCCCAAGCCATGGGGCCGAGGCACCCTGGCCTCCGGGACTGGTCCTGGGCCGCGTGGCCACAGG